CATTGTTCCAGGGTCAGATGAAAAGGGCAAGTGTTTTCCTCCATTTCCTTTGAACACCGTCATCTCCGTAACAGATTATTTTTAAAGTTTATTTTTATAGGCTGACGAACACCCTCAGACACCATTTTGGCTTCAGTGAGGTCATCCACTACCCAAATGCTACTCCCTGCTAATGAGGTGAAAGCAGTGCTGTTAAAAAATAGAAGGGGACAGGTGTTTTATCAGGCAGAAGTGCCTGGACTTTATTTACAAATGCAAGGCAGTGAATACTTCAAGCCAAATAAATAAATGAATATAAATACAAGCTTGCTTAACAGTGTCAATAAGTCGTAATGTTTCTAATTCAGGAGATGATAACTTTGGAATGTGCAATGACTACAACATGATATGCTGTATGTCATCCTTGGTGATGATCTTATGTTTCATAATCTGATCCATGATTGAAAGGATTTTGCTTGGGTACCAAACGTTGCATGAATTTGGCAGGGAAGAGAACATAGTGCCCTTCCTCCTTAAGGGAAAACAAAAAGGATTAGCAGCACTGTGCCCTCTTCATACAACAAGAAAATGCCCTACTGTAAAGCTGTTATAAGGGAGTGTGTACGCTATTTAAAAAGAAGAAGTAGAAGAAGGAAGAATAGAAATGGAAGTTTCAAAAAAATCTGAGGAAGAACTGAAGATCCTTTCTCGTATCTTTTTATCCAACTGTATGCAACACACACAAATGAATCTCAGACGTCTTACTAGAATTAAAAATCAGGTTCAAAAGGGACTCCGATTGTTCTGATAAGACAGCATCAGTTAATACAAGACACAGGCCTGGCCCTGTTGTTTGATTGTGTGAATTAAGAAGCCATCTCAGGCAGCAGACGATGCAGGGAGGTGAGTGAGGAACAGTAGCATGGCATCAGAAAACAGGGCTGGTGTCTGATGTTGCCTGCCCTCAGACACAGTGTGGAAGTAACTCATTGCAAATATGATATTTGTAGTTACTTCCTTTTTGCAATCACTAAGATATAGAGTAAATGTAGTAAATATAATAAATAAACTTGTATTATATTATAACTGTACTGTAATAAACATCATTGCACACTTTTTGTGGTATAACTTGAACATGTTTATATTTATAGTTACAGAATAATTCTAATTATTTAGTTGAACCAAAGCCCAGCTTAGATGTGTTTTGAACGAATGGCTAGCAATTTATAGAATATGTTTTAAAAGTATCTAAAAGTGACTATTTCGGTACTTTTGGAAGTATGAAGGAGCCCCTACTGTGGACACAGAAGCTTTGATGCTGACTAAGATGCATCAAAGCAGCTATTGGGCAGGCATGGTAGCTGAACATGACATTGGCAGAGGAGGGAACAGCAGGGACACGCAAGCTAACTTTTGTTAGTAATGCACAGTATTGCTATTTCAGATTTTTTCCCCAAACAAACAAATAACTTTTGGAAATATTTCTAAGATACTTTATGTTGCCTAGAATTCAAACAAGAACATAGAATCATAGAATAATGAAGCTGGAAGGGGCTTACAAGGCCATCGAGTTGAACCCCCTGCTCAACACAGGAATACAAATCAAAGGATATCTGCCAGGCGGTAGTCTAAATTTCTCTTGAATGCCTCCAGTGTTGGAGCACTCACCACCTCTTGAGGGAATTGATTCCCTTGCCGTACTGCTCTAACAATTAGGAAGTTTTTCCTGATATTCAACCAAAATCTGGCTTCCTGTAGCTTGAGCCCATTGTTTCACATCCTGCACTCTGGGATGATCCAGAACAGATCCTGCACCTTCTCTGTATGACAATTTTTCAAATATTTGAAGTGTTGTCATATCTCCCCCTCAGTCTTCTTTTCTCAAGGCTAAACATGCCCAGTTCTTTCAGTCTCTCCTCATAGGGCCTCATTTTCAGCCCCCTGATCATCCTTGTTGCCCTCCTCTGAACTTGTTCCAATTTGTCAGAATCCTTCTTTAAGACCTTAAGATGAGGTCTAACCAGTGCGGAATAGAAGGGAACTAAAACCTCATGAGAGTATGTTTCTGTTAATGCATCCTAAAATAGTGTTTGCCTTTTTTGTAGTCACATCACACTGTCGGCTCATATTCAGCTTGTGATATACAATGACTCCAAAATCCTTTTCACTCCTACTATTGCTAAGCCAAGTATCCCCCATCTTGTAACAGTGTGTTTGGTTACTTTTTCCTTGGTGCAGTAATTTACACTTACCCCTGTTGAATTTTATTCTGTTGTTTTTAGTCCAGTGCTCAAGCCTAGCTAGATAATTTTGATTTTTTTTTCTGTCTTCCAGGGTGCTAGCTATTTCTCCAGTTGTGTGCCATCTGATTAGCATTCCCTTTATCTCCTGATTCTCCAGGTCACTAATAAAAATATTGCATCATACTGGGCCCAGGACTGAGTCCCAGGGTATCCCACTTGTTAACTCTTCCCAGTTTGAGAAGGAGCCATTAATCATCACCCTCTGAGTACGACAGCCATCTGTGTATCCACCTGACAGTTGTTATATCCAGCCCACACCTAGTTAACTTGCTAATCAGAATATCATGGGGCATTGTCAAAAGCTTTGCTGAAGTCCAGATATACTATGACTACAGCATTTACTCTGTCTATCAGGTGGTTACCTGATCAAAAAATGAGATCAGATTAGTCTGCAGGATTTGTTCTTGATAAATCCGTGTTGGCTTCCATTTATCACTGCCTTGTTTTCTAGGTGTTTGCATAGTAACTGCTTTATAATCTGTTCCAGAATTTCCCCTGGGATTGATGTTAGGCTGACTAGGCTGTAGATCCCAGGTTCCTCCTTTTTGTAGACAGGAACAACATGAGCCCTCCCTCAATCATCTGGCACACCACCCATTTCCTATGATTCCAAGAAAATACAGTGGTGCCTCGCAAGACAAGCGCTTCATTTTACAATGAAATCTCATAACGACGATGTTTCCTATGGGTTTTTTTTCGCTTTGCGATGATCGGTTCCCTGCTTCACTAACCGATTATTGCAAAACGACGATTTTCGCACAGCTGAATGGCCACCAGGTAAAAAAAATGGTTGCCCGCTGTTTTCTGGGATGAATTCCTCGCTGCACGGGCAGCGAAAATGGCTGCGCTATGAAGGATCTTCGCTGGACTGTGAGTTTCAAGCCCGTAGGAATGCATTAATAGGGTTTTAATGCATTTCTATGGACTTATAAAAATCGCTTTATGATGTTTTCGTTCTACAGCGATATCGCTGGAATGAATTAACATCGTAATGCGAGGCACCACTGTAATGGACAGTGGTTCTCAGAGTCCTTCAGCCAGTTTCTTCAGTACTTGCACTTCATCTGGACCTGGAAATTTGAATTCGTTCAAGGTAATAAAGTATTCCTTGACTATTCGTCTGAGTATTTGTTTGTCAATCTCCTGCTGCAATCTTGTCCTTTCCATCCACACCACATTTGTCTGGAGGGTCATTGGACTGGGCTAAAATAGGACTTGAGCACTTCTGCCTTTTCTTTGTCTTCTGTGATCGTTTCCCCATCTCCATTAAGTAGATGAGCTATTGTTTCTTTTCTTTGTCTTTTGCTATGCATGGACCTGAAGAATACGTTTTGGTGTTGGTGTTGTTTTTAGTGTCTCTAGCTAGCCTCAGGTTATTCTCAGCTTTTGCTCTCCTAATGCCATCCCTGCAATTATTTGCTACTTGTCTGTACTCATTCTCGGTGGCCTGGCCTTCCTTCCATTTCCTATATGTGTCCTTTTTTTTGTTTTCAGGTCCTGTTTGAGCTTTTTGTGAAGCCATGGTGGCCTTTTCTTTTGCTTTCTCCCACATTTTTTTCTTGTAGGAATTGTTTGTAGTTGTGCCTTTATAATTTCCTTTTTAAGAATCTCCTACCCTTCTTAGACTCCTTTTCTTGTTAAGATCTCCTGCCATGGGACTTTACTTATCCCTGTTCTTCTAGTAGAACATGGCCACTCTCTCCCAGAGTTCCCCTTACTACCACGTCCTCCACCAAGTCATCTCTATTGGTTAGAATCAAGTCAAGGGCAGCTAGTCCTCTAGTTTATTTCTCTACTTTTTGTAGGAGCCAATTATAAGCCACACAAGCCAGGAATTTCTTGGAAGGGCCACATTTGGCAGAATTTGCCTCCCAACAGTCTGTGAATGCTTCTGAAAAGATCACACCATGGAATCTGAGAAGAAAATTTTACAACTGATTTCCTCATAATTTTCTGTATCAACTTGAAATGGTGTGACCTGCAAAAGAGTTGGGCCAGTATTTGAATTACCAAAGGACCAATCTGGTTACTTCTCATATTTGGAAAAGAAAAAAACAATTTAATCATTTATAAAAGCACTGAAGATTATTTAACTATAGTATGTTAAATGCAGTGAATAACAAAATTACCGTATCTTTTTATGTCAGGTTGCTATGCTTATTTACCAAGAAATGGAAGTACAGTATTGCTATTTGAATTTGTATATAAATGCTTGAAAAGATAAGCCCACATATGGCATCATTTAAACATTTTTTCCTGTAACTATGCAGCGAGTTAGCTTGCTTTTCTTGTCAGTAATTCTAGCATTTTTAGACAAACGAAAACAGTTGAAATTTTTATGGTTTACTTCTTGCTGTTCTTCTGTATGAGGCTGCAGTCTACATAACCCCCAAATGTCTGTAAATACACCTTGAGGAGAAAGATATATTTGTAGTCTCTTAATATACACCACACCTATAAATAGGCTAGTCCATTGTTTCTTTTAATGCCGCAGGTCTATCATCTCATTTATTGGGCAGTATCATTTTACCAAGCCTGGATGAAAGCAGCAAACATGTAACCTAGTTGTTAGCTATGATAGCTACAGCCACGGCAGCAGCAGCTATCATTTGATAGTTTGCTCACAGCCAGTTCAAGTTGGCAATGTCACCCCAAGCTGATTGGAGCTGCAGACATTTTTGCTGACTGGAGTCAGGCTATCTTTTCCAGTTTGCTGGAATAGACACAGACACTGATTGGGTCATGCTGAAAACATTCCAGTCCTATGAAGCAAGTCTGTTTGTATTTTAGGTTTGGCAGGACTAATGAATTAAAAATTTTGGACTCTTGACAGTTTGTGGCTTTAATAATGCCTCTGATGGAAGGATTTTTTGCCTCACGGAGCTTGACAACATTGTAATCCCTCGTTGTTGGAAAGGAAGGGACGGGACGGTGGAATTGTGAAGGAAACCGGAAAAGGGTGGTCTGGAGGGATTGAAAAGCCTATGGGGTGCAGGTAGTAGCCTGTTGCCCTGACAGCTGTTCCAACTACTCAGACCTTGTCAGCTTGTGGCTATGTAGCAGGTGCAGCCTTTTCTTTTATTGATTCTGTTCTCCATAAAGGCAACGACAAGCCAAGGCAGTGGCTGGCCCTGGATTATACAAGTGCAGACACTACCAAGTGAGGTAAGGCAACAGGTGTGAAAACTGAACTAAGTGATTGAGTTGTAACCACACTTAACTCGAGTACTGGTGCAGGTTTATATATCTATCTATCTATCAAATGAAGGAACACTATTTTCTAGGAAATCTAATGAAAGAGTAGTTTGGGGGGAAATTGTTTTGGATTGCTTATTAAAACCAAAGCCTTCAGCTTTAATCAGAAAAAGCAAAATAGAGTACTTGAAGAAATTCTGTTCAATATCTATTGTTTGATTATATTGATATAAAAATCTGTTTTGTATAGCTTCATTTCTTTCTGCTTCTGAGATGGAGGGATGCTGGGGTTCTGTGGATGCATAATAATGAAATGGGGAAAATTAAATATATGTCTGTGCATAAGAAAGGTGCTTATCTTTTTAAAAAGCTAACCACATGTACACAGGTTTAAGAAATCTTTGCACAACCAGGATAACATAATGGCCGATTTAAAAGAAAAGGGTCTGCTACAGATGCTTTGGGATTTCTCCCCCAAATCCCTGCAATGTTGTTTATTTTAAAACTATGTGATAGCTTGAGAACTTGTTAAAATACCATTATTGTTTTGTGGAGAGTGCTGGTCAGAGGACAGTCACATGAGACCTCCACAATCAAAAATATAATTGATTCAAAGTTTTAATGTATAATCTTTCTTTCATGTTTCTCCGCTTTTGCTTTCGGATAATATACCCATGATGTTATCCGAGGAACAAATTACAATTTAGCATTTCTAATGCTTATGCTTTTACTTAGTCATAAATTATGTGTTTTCTAAAAATGGATGTACTAAGTGACTCAATTATAAAAATTATACATGAAGATTTTTTCTTACAAAACCATAACAGCTTAGTAATAAAAGAATTTCTAATTTGGAATATTTGGAACAGAACTGTATTCTGGCAAGAAGGAAGGTGGTGTGAATTAAATTTAAAAAAATGAAAGAAAGTTTGGCAAGTTCTCTTCAGCAGCAGCATTATCTGAACCCCTGTTTGTCCAGCTTGTATTGATGGAATTAGGTATTGCCATAATAGTATTTCAAGAGAGTTGAGGGAAGGCACATTAACTGTCTCCTTTCAAATCAAACCTTATACTACTTTTGGTTTAGCAGCGATATAAAGTTATGTCTGGCAAAAGTGAATGTTGTAGTGTATTACATATTAAGCAGTTTCAACAGGTCACCTCGCAGCTGATCGTGTGATAATTCATTGTGTTTAATCTGCCAAAAGCTGCAAATTACATTCGCGTGTCATCTTGAAATGAATGACAATACTCTCTTGCTCAAGCACATGTCCAAATGTTTTTCACAACTGGGATAGCATTTCATGGGATATCGTTGCTAGATAAATGCTGAGAGAACAAGGTACATTGGAAAATTGATAGGGACTACCAGTCACACCCCTGCCTAGTCTCACATCATGAGCTGTTAAAGAATGGTGTCAGGGAGGGGTGTTATGTAGTTGGGTTTTAACAAAATGACTTTTAAAAATTATGAAACCCATGCGATTGCCAAGTCCAGATTTGTGGAAGGCCCTCTAGTTTTAAGGACTGGATAAAGAAAGGCCATTTTCTGGGTACACTGCTGTTCCAATAGAGGAATACAGTACAAAATGCTGCATGCGGTGAAATTTTTGTCTCCAGCTGAGTTCTAGACATTTGTTTGTTTGTTTGTTTGTTTATAGTGCCATTTACAGGTTGCCTTTCTCTCAATGTGGGACCTCAAGGCAGCTCACAATGTTAAAAAAATCAGGAATACAATAAATTGTACATTAAAAACAATTACAATATACAGTAATAGCAATTAAAACACACTCAGTGATTAAAGACTAGAGATCAACATAAAACACTGGTTGGGTGGTTCATGCCAGGTTGTCATTTGGACGAACAGGTGTTCGTTCAGTGGTTCCTAGCCCTGCTTCTTCCAGGTACTGCCTCTTAGTGGGTGCCCACCAGAAGAAGGGCTGGGAACTGCCCAAAATTTGTTCAGCTGAAGGACAAACTGGCAGTTTGTGCCCATCCCTATTAAAGACATTTGAAACTTTTAAAACAAACTTACTCAACTAAAAACCAGCATTTAGGACTCAGTTATGATTATTAAAAACCTGCCTGAAGAGGTGGGTCTTCAACTTCAAAGGAAGGAGACCAGCCTAACTTCTCAAGGGAGGGACATTATAATGTGTGTGGTGTTGTTTTTTAAATTTACACCAAGCCTTAATTTGTTTCTTTGAAGTACTATATTCCAAGTAATAGCCCAATATTCTAACCACTGTACCACATTCCCTCTCACCCTTTACTTTATGAGCTTCAATACCAACCAAAGGTCAGATGTCAATTAATTGCAGAGTAATTAAAACCCACAGTATTTTAAATGAGGTAGGTTTATTACTGCGCTAAAGACGCGAACAGTTTGGAAAAGATGCAATGGATAGAAATAAGAAAATACAACTAAATACCTATTCTGAAATATTAACTTTCATGTAGAATAGGTTCCAAGACTAGACTAGGAGCCTTGTGGCGCTGTGGTTAAACCGCTGTACTGCAGCCAAAACTGTGCTCACAACCTGGGGTTCAATCCCAGGTAGCGGCTCGAGGTTGACTCAGCCTTCTATCCTTCCGAGGTCAGTAAAATGAGTATCCAGCTTGCTGGGGGGGGGGCAATGCATAGCCTGCATAATTAATTTGTAAACCGCCCAAAGAGTGCTTGAAGCCCTATGAAGCGGTATATAAGCAGCACGCTTTTAGAATAAGACAGAGACTATGGAAACAGGCTTCATGGGCCAAACCCTTATACACCCAACCTTTAGGAATAGAAGACAAATGTAATTAGCCAGTGACGCTCTGTGTGGCTGTGGTGATACCACACTCTGCAGCTATATGGCAGGGACGTGCACATTCCCTTGTGAATGCACATCAGTGCAGTTGCGCTGAGGAGCACAGTCTCAGCTATGGCCTTGAGAATCTTTGCCAACAGATAATTCCAGTGGGCTTAGTGCCTACACAAGTCTCTCAGTCATAGGAAATGGCAACATTTCTCAGAAGAACTACAGCCTGCAGTTCTTCGTAGGCACCAGCTCCAAGAACCTGACAACTCTATGTGGAAAGCAGTGGTGGTAACATAAAGTAGCTGGCACCCTCCCTGGCATTTGAGGCCTAGCTGGCTCTTTTTGCAGCCAGAGCTGCTTCAGGATTGGCAGGTGGTGGTGTACTGCTACTTAGTGAGGCTCAAGGGGAGGAGGAAGGCTTGTGGGAATGGGGAGGAGAGGAGAGCAAGGAGACCAAGTAGCAGGACTCCCTGGGGCTGGGGGGGGGACAGTAGAGTTTACCACTCCTGGCATTTTGCCATCTGAGGCAGCTAATTTATTCTGCCCAGTGGTGGGGCAAGATGCTAATGGCAGGATACCAATTGTAATCGACACTGTGGTTTCATTACAAAAATCAGGCATTAAAGCCACTGTATTGTGGCAGTAGACTTTTGGTGAAATCTGGCATCTTGTCAGTTCTGATCATAGAGATTATGCAGAGACTTTTGACCCAGTGATCCCTTATACTAGAACGATGCAATTAATATTCTGCTCTTTGGCGAAAATAAGCACGTGATAGGCTCAGAACCTAGCAAACATTTTGTATAGAAGAGCCATACAGTTGAAAAGCATGCTACTAGCTCTCATGAAATCTGTTGGCTTATGCACAAAAATCCGTTTAACACAAGGTAAACCTCAGCTCCATTAATTTAAATGTATTCTGTTTGGCTGCAGCATTGCTGGAGGGTGCAAAAGAGCAAACTCACTGAAGCAGGGTGAGACCACATATTACTAATGGTAACCCACTCTGGCACTTTCAGTTAAAAGGAACTTGCATGGCAGAAACGAGGAGAGAACCTCTCCTCAGGCTAAGGATTGCTCTTGCCACCCACAGTAGTATCTGTCTAGACAGAGCACTATGCTGATGTAGACCAAGATAGCAACATGTGCTTGAGCCAAGTCGCAATACTTAGCTGAACACTGCCAACTTGTAAACAAAACCCATTCACCAAGCACTGGCCTCTCTTAGTCAAGGAAATCTGTTCCAAACTTTCTGCTGTGATTTTGTTACTCCTCTCTGCTGGAAGGCTGGCTTGTCCATTGCCATCATGTTATGAGTGATAATATTAAAATTGTTCCGAAATGTTTACACAAAACTGGGGGGAAATTCTCAAATGCCAGTTGGAAGAATAAAGGGCTGATTCATACATACTTTACGAAACTATTCTGTTCAATAATACTCTATCACAGATTAATCCACAGATAAACAGTATGACACCTCAGTTATAATAGTCTTTAACAGAGTCAGTCACACCTCTACTAAGTTGGAAGTTAGAGCAGCAAAGTATAAAACAAGTCACCTGACAGGAGAAATAAGGCGCATATATATATTAAGAAAGGCTCCAGCATCTTGTCCTCACTTATGTTTTCTAAGTAACTTACTAATATGTAGATTACAATATTCAGGCTTGAATTTCTCCATCTAGGAATCCAGAGAAGTTTTGAATTTTTAGGGAGAGATAGCACATGGGATCTTCTCCATAGCTAACATCAGATTCCTATGCATGAAAGTCAGCACCATGGCTTCTGTAACTACGTTTAGCATACATTTCACTTGCACTATCCCTGAAAGGATTTCCTGAAGTAATAAGTGCAACTTTTCTGTTTTTCACCTATTGTCATTTTCCTATTTTACTTCTCTGGGCTGCCTGCTCCTGTTTCATAGTCAGAAGATCAGTCTTAGCCTGCTGCACTCTGCTAGCATAAATATCAAATATTCTTAGATACACAACCATCAGGTGAGATGCATTTGTTGTGCACTAGCTCATAACATAGTGTCTGCCTAAAATTTTGCTATGTAAAAGCATGAGATGCATTTGTTGTGCACTAGCTCATAGCATAGTGTCTGCCTAAAATTTTGCTATATAAAAGCATGTGACTTATATACTGCTCCATAGTGTTTAAAGCACTCTCTGGGCAGTTTACAAGTTAATTATGCAGACTGCACATTGTCCCCCACCCAGCAAGGTGGGTACTTATTTTACAGACTTCAGAAGAATGGAAGGCTGAGTGAACCTTCAGCTGGCTACCTGGGATTGAACCCTGGGTCATAAGCAGTTTGGCTGCAGTACAGCAGCTTAACCACTGTGCCACAGGGTGCAGGAATAATATGGTACACCTTTCATTTTCATGTTCAGAAGCTCAGAGCTTGGAACAGTTACTATTTTGACAAGAAATGTCAAAATCCACCACCTCAATAGTGCTTATATGTGAGAAGACGTACATGCAATAGTATTGTGATTGACCATCCTAGGGTAGGAAATCTTTGGTTCTCCAAATGTTTCAGATTATAATTCCCCATGTTTTATTGTTGTCCATGCTAGTGGTCCCATTGCCAGCACAAGCACAGTTGATGGGGACATGAGAGAGGGTCTTCTCTGTGGTAGCTCCAAGGTTATGGAATGTTCAGGCTGGCCCTTTTGCCTTTTGTCTTTCCGCGGACAGCTGAAGACCCATCTTTTCAGGCAGGCTTTTAACAATCATGATTGAGTCCCTGAATGCCATTTTAAAGTTAAGATAATTTTGAATATTTGCCTGCTTTTAATTATTCCATTGTAATTAGTGTATAGTTTAATTGGCTTTTTAATGTTTCACTTATGTTTTTTATTCTATTTTTTAAAATATTGTGGGCTGACTTGGGTCCCCAAGAGAAAGAAGGCCTATAAATAAGACAAACAAATAAGGGAAATAAATAGGGCTGAGCTCCCAAACTCCTAGAGAGGTAAAGGTCTCCTACCTCTTGATTTCCCACCTAGAAAAATACAAACAATGAAAAAAGCCAAGAACATGAAGTCAAATGCATGAAGCATATTTGTTTCTCTAAGGAAAAAATATTGGCAAGCAGTTGTTTTCAATTTGCTGGAATACGTACATGGAGAACTCACCTGTGAAAGGGTTGGGACAAAGAATGTACTTGCAAATAATTATGCTCAGCGTTATTCCTGAAAGTCAGAGTCAATAATATCAGATACATAATGAACATATTTAAAGAATGTTACTTGATACTGCAGTGGCTTCTCCTGAACAATGTATGATATTTATATTTTGCAGCTGGAAGATATAAGTAAACGCATAGGCTCAAGTGCCCACATGATCACCACAGCAAGGGTACCTGCTGATAAAGCAATACGAATTGCCTTCAGTCTAAATGACTCCCAAGGTAATAGTCAATTTTATTAAGATTCTTTGTCCTGGGCATTTGTTCTTGGTTGGAGAGAATATTTTTCAGTTTGTCTTAAAGAAAATTTATTGTCTGAAATCCTATTGCTTAGCTTGGTAAATAGCACTAGAGTAGGCCCATTGAGTCAGTGGGAATTTAGTCAGACAACTCCTCGATTAATTCTGTTGATTCAAATGGGCTTACTCTAGTTGTGACTCCTACAGCACAGCTTATTACATTAAACAACAGGATATCAGCCACTGATTTGCATTTCTCAAACTGGTGTGCAAACTAAAACACATTTATATCTCATTTTTCCAAACATTCTGGTACAGTTCTCCAATCAAACAATGTATATGAAATGTATATGAAAATCAGTATATTAAAGGAGAAGTGCACGTAAAGAATTAGACGAAATGGAGTACAAAAAATGGAGAAGTATGTAGAAAATTGTATATGCACACATTTTTGTGGGCACTTTTAACAAGGGAAAACTCTTGGGAATATGAAATGAATTTAATGCTGGGAAAATGAAAAACTGAGTGAATCTCAAACTGATGGATTACCCCAGTTCTATTCTTGCCACTATTTGCAATAATTTAAGTAAATTCGATGGCACAAATGTATTTTTTTAACTGGTTCAGATTATTTGGTTTGTATTTGCATCTAATAACTACAAATCTTATCAGTAAGGATAATTTTATAGAAAAATATGTATCATTTTACTTACTTGCAATAACAAGAAGAGATCATTGCAGCAGAACTGAGTGTGAAAGGTATAGAATACATTGGCAGGAATACATTGCCAAAATCCTCTTGAGTAACTATGCAAATAGGAGGGCCCCAAATTAAGAAATCACCATAAACCTTATTGATTGTATGCTGATTCATACAACCTAATGGTGATTTCTTAACTTGGGGCAATTCACCCTTAAAGGTATGACATTTGTGCTACACCACTGTAACTAGCCAAGAGGATTTGGGTAATTTTTTTAAATGAATGAACAGAGGAGGGGGGGGGACATAAAATGGCTTCCTGGCTAAATTAAGGGAAGCACTCAGGAAACAGCTGGTCCAGTTTGTATTGCACATTCTATCCAGCCAAAAGAGATAGAGTTGATTGATGTTTGTCCTTTATATTCCTGCTGACTATGGTTTTATTTAATTATGCAACCTATATTTGGGACTCAGGAAGAGCTCAGAGCTGCATTGTATACATATGCAAACTTTAAGTGGAAAAGTTACACAGGACTCGGTTTTCGGAATATCACAACCCTTCTACATAAATTAATGCTGTGCCAAAATGTATCTTGGGAGGGTTTCAACTATTCTCAAACAAGTTGATAGAAAAGATATTCCCTTTGAAAAGAATATCAGTAGAGGAGAAATACCAAAGAAATCCTCACGGCTGTGGTTCAGGATTTTGTGCTTACATACTTTTAAAGTGGTTGAGAAATGTGTGCTCATGACTTGCCTTTCATAATGCAGTCATCTCTGTGGCAGCCAGCACTATGTTCAGCCTCCCTGTGATATTACCGTAAACTCAAAAGAAAGCCTAGCAATCCCTAGAGAATGAGGCAGTAAAATGGAACTTCTTGGACACTGGAAATAAAATTACAGCACAGCACTACTGCACCTTTTTGCCGGAGAGAGATACAAGAGTGTCCTTTTTCATACTCCCTACAGGATTTACAAGGAAGGAGCTATGTTATAAGCATCTCTGGAGTACAAACAAAATATTATCCATAATGCCCAACCTGAGATGCAAGATTTGGAAGGCCTGGGAAAATGTTGCATCCTGAAGGATGACAACTAGTGCTAAGCCATCATTTCTATAGCTATAGGTATAATCAATGCAGGGACCATTTAAAGGCTCGGATAGTAGATGATGATTCTGCCTGAGATGCTGGAAAATGTCTGCCAGCTAGTCAAAGCACAGAAAACTGGCCTGGGTCAACAGGAGAGAATGTATCTTCCTAACCCTAGTCAAATGTTTAAGATAGAGTTAACCTGAACACATGGGAAGAGCAGGCTAGGCCAACCTTCTTTGTTATCCATCTATCTCCAGGCTGTCACTCTCCCCATGTGGGGAATAACAAGAGAGGGGGAGAAACTAGCCCTCTCTCCTTCCTTATACATTTCAATTAACCTTTTTCTGAAGATCTAAACAAGGCTTCTGACTAGTGCTTTTCATGAGATCAAACTGACAACAGAGATATTGTGCAGAGATAAGTGGCATTTAGGTAGCCCTCCTAAGGGACATCTGATTAAGGCTAGCAACAACTATCCTAAATAGGTCTGGGTGTGTAAGAACCTGTCTATATTCCTCAAAAAAACCCACAATATGTAGTGTTTTAATTTTAGTTGACTCAAGTCATATGGTTTTTGAGGCATCTCCTGTGTTCCTAATGAGTAATTGAAATACTCCTTTTTAAAATTTAGTGTAGGGTTCACAATGGCTTAAGTTGATTAAGAAAACAGTGTGCTAATATAAACAGCCCTCTTGTGTTTAACAGCTTAACTCGCTTCCTAAGAAAATAATGTGACTCAGAGGAAAATAAATACACACTTTGTAATTCATTGTGTGAATGTGAAACACATAACAGTTTTTAACACAAGTCAAATCCCAGGTCTTTTTGGCTGTGTGACCCGGCTCTAAGAAACAAATATTGGGAAGTGAAAAAGAATATTATAACATACAAAAATAGGTACAGATAATGTGGAGGAGGTGATGGTGATGGTGATGATAATGGAATCTCTTTCTGCATGAAAAAGACATTTCTATTTTTTAAAAAAGATTTTTGTTTGAAAAGCATATAGTGGCAGGGAGCTACCAGATGGGTCCATATTTGAATGGCACTGTTATCCTTTGCAATGCCAACGATAAAGATGACAATAATTTCTGGCTGCTGTATACCGTGGGTGTGCTCCTCAAGTTGTCAAAACAAGTATCACTTCTCTGTAACTCTGATCCAGTATCATTGCCATTGTCAAAATATTTTACAAATGTTCTTGAAGCAGCTGGGCCACCAGTGACTCTGAGTCACACTTCTCTTTTTCTTTTGGGCATTCACTATGATTCACCTTTCTTTTTTTGAAATGATTAGCTTGGTTTGGGTTTTTTAAAAAACAAAAAACAACATTGCAGGAACAGTGTCTCTGGTATGTAAAGTAAAACATTTGCATCTGACAATAAAGATATCATATGCAGATAAGAATATAAACCCCGGCCCTAACCATGTTCATTGAGGATTAAAAAGAAAATACAACTGTAGATAAAGCAGTATCCTAAGGTCTGTTGCTACTTGAGCTGGGAAGCGAGGTGCCACTTACACTGCCCACTCATGCCCATCCAGTTTATTTTATGTATTTATTTTCACAGACTTATTTACTGCCCAAGTAACTTTAGTCTGGGTGGCTTAACATAAAAACAATCAATATAAATGCATTGCAACAGACAGAGATAACAAAGCAAAATATTAATAAAAAAGAAGTAACAATATGACTGTTCAACAACAAAATGCACACCCCAGAGCAGCAGGGGGTGGAGGAGAAATAAAAGAACTACTGTATTCTTGTTCCATACTTCCACTCTGAGACAAAAGCAGAGAAAGAAGGAGAAGAAAGAGATGATGAACCAAACACCTGGCAGCAGTGGCAATGATGGAAGCCAAAGCAGAATCAGCTACATAGCATAGAATCATACCATAATGATTCTAAGGCCATCAGTCCAACCCCCTGCTCAGTGCAGGAATCCAGATGAAAGTAGATTTTACAGATGGAGGTCCAATTTTTTCTTGAATGCTTCCAGTATTGGTACACTCGCCATCTCCCAAGATCATTGTTTCCATTGTCATACTGCTCTAACAGCAAGGAAGTTTTTTCAGAGGTTCAACCAAAATCTGTCTTCATAGAATCATAGAATAATGAAGTTAGAAGGGGCCTATAAGACCATCAAGTCCACGGCTCTTGACAGAGGCCAGGGCCTTAGAGCTACAGTACTATTCTTTAAACTGGTGGTCACCACCAAAAATAGGAAAATCCAGGATTTTCTAGGCTAAAGCACCTTGAGAGCCGGGCACTGATTTTAAGATATAGCTGGCACTGTGGAACTGGCCTCTGGCAGGAGGTGTGCTCTACTTAGCTGCTAGTGCCACTGCCTCCACCATAATCTATGCTTACTTCTTCATGGGTTGCCCCAGGAGCAGTGGCTGATAACTGCACACATGCTTCACAATCCCCATGATAGGTTTTAAGAGCAGTTAAAAGCCTGAGTTTCATACGAGAACAGTAATACCTGAAACAAAATCTTGTAAAAATGAATACAAGAATTGTATTTGCAAAGGCTTCCACTGCCGGGATCTAATGCTAGTTGAGGGTTTTTCGGGCTGTTTGGCCGTGGTC